TCCGATTTCTGTAAAACTTCGAATGATTTGCCCACATCGGCTAAACTTAAAAAATTTTCCACGGAAAAAGGCATGTTTTTTTTTTTTGCAAATTACGTATATTGAGTTTATTTATTTATTTTTGTACGATATTATAGAGTTGGACGAGCCCCCATTTTGTTACGTGTTGATAAATGTAACAAAGAAAAAAAAATTATTTACCACAACACAGAGCTAAATCACAAACAAATATTTAATTTACTAAAACAGAACATAAAATATATACAAGATAAACAATTGTGGCCTACAAAACAGAAAACAGAGTTACTGGCAAGTGTTACGAGGAGAAGGAAAGGGAGTCAAATATCTTTTAAATCACTTTAGGGCTAGTGAAGTAATCTAAGTGCTATATTTGGAAATCCACAAAGGTGTGTAAATAAATATTAATTTTAGTTTGGTCAATGAAAATTAGTCAAAATTCTATTTACCAACTTTGTTCCATGAAATTCTCTTTTGGGTTTTGGTTGGTCGGCAACTTTTTATAGAGATTCTTTCGGCTGGATATAATAGTCCTTGAATCAAAAGCCGGAGTTGATACTGACAGCAATCTGTTTTCACCAACTGACAACCCTTTTCCAAAATCCCATTTTTATAGGGGCTAACACCTAATTTGCATTTTTCTAGATGTTTCTCGAATCATCTAGATTTTTCTCGAATATACTAGAATGATCTAGAATCTTCCAAACATTCTATTTCTAATTTCACTATTTTACAACTACTTCATGAATGAAAACTTTTTTGTAATAACAAGTAGAACTCAAAGGAATCCCTTTTTATAGAAATGCATCCTCGTAACAATATATATATATGAATAAAAATGACAATAGGAAAACTAGTAATTGCTGACGCGTTTCGTCCAATGTGGACTTTATCAAAGCAAAATACGAAATGAATTTAACTGAACAAGGTAACTAATAAAAACAAAAAAAAAAACAAAAAAAAACAGAATGTTCCTAGCAACTGGAATGTAGAGAAACGCAATTTTCATATTGTTAACTGAACGAAACTCGTCAGCAATTACTAGTTTTCCTATTGTCATTTTTATTCATAAATATTGTCTTCTCTACTGGTTAAATCGGAGAAATTTTCATATATATATATATATATATATATATATATATATATATATACACATGTGTATGTATGTATGATATCAAATAATAATTAACTCATTGTTTAACGCATAATAACTCACTGTTTATAAAACATAAAAATAATAAGAAAATGCTCAACGTTTGTAAAACCTCTGATTCAATTAAGATCAAAGATTATTCATACGGCGAGATATCCGGTTGCTTCAAGCCAGGATCGAAAACCGACCGATTTGGCATTAGGCGGAGTTTCTGCCCTTGAGCTATCAGCGAACGGCGGAAGGGGAGGGAAATTTTAGCGTATTATTTTTACAAAGATAAACAAACGCCAAACGTACTCTATTCATGTTTTTAATGAAACGATTGCTGTTTAGAATTTCTTTCTTTCTCTTTCAACAGTCAGTCAGTTATGTGCCATGCGTGATAAACGATTAGACGGTCATGTATCTTTCGATACATGACTGACGAGGCAGAATTTTCCCCGCAGTAGTTTACCATTTCTTTCTGCGGGAGAGCAGTGGCCATTCAAATTTATAGAACCCGGTCTGTGCTGCTATTTATCCATAGCTGGAGAGGAGGGAGAAGGAGTCGTATCTTCTCAAGGGTATTAGCACGTAAGTAAGTGTAATAGATTAGACTAGGATTCGAACTCGGCTCTCCGATTCCTCAATCCAAGCCGCTATCCATTACTCCACTCAACTGAAATTACCGAGAGCATAATAATGTCATCCATATACAGGGCTGTTTCGCTGTATCACAGATCATCAGTGCGGCTAGACATCCGATTGCTTCAAGCCGGGGTATATATATATATATATATATATATATATATATATATATATATATATATATATATATATATATATATATATATATATATAAACAAATGTTTGGAGGTACAAAATTTATAAATAGTTTTAAAAACAAAGGAAACCATTGATTTTAATTTTAAAAGTCTCTAGGGCCCTTTCAGCCAACATCTCATCAGGAGACAATCGTTGGATTAGCGAAAAGATTATTAACGATATTGAAGAGGAAAAAAAAAAAAAAAAGGGAAACACACTAAAATAACAAACAAGTATATATACTTGTAACGAGGGAAGGGATCGTGTAAATAAATTAGCGAGGGACAGTTAAAATAAAATATCCCCCAACAGATTCAGAGACCTTATAAATTCTTTCTGCCGGCAGAGAGAAGGTTTTCTTAATCCTGTACAAACCGATTCCAAAATCTTCAAATGATTATTGGAATCGGCTGTATGAATAATTTTAAAACACTCTTTTTTATACAACTAGGCACAAGCTATATTCTCAACTAAATGTTGAGCAATAGCCGATTCCATATTCATGGGGGGAAGATAGCATATTCCATCTATCTTACCAAGTCGTATTTTGGAAGGTACGTGCTGATTAATTCTAGTTTCCAAATGCAAGGTTGTACGGCCCACATAACCAGCAGCACACTGGCAATTAAATTCATATACTAAATTACTCAATTTGATGTAGGGCAATACATCCTTGCGAAAAGACGGAAACGCAGACCTAGTTTGAAAAATGCTACGTAAAGCAACTGATGGGAAACAACCGGAAACCGACTTGCTAACCTGCTTAATTAAGCCCTGACCCCTATCCCCAATCCAGGGAATCTTCAAATAAACCGGACATTTAGAAGGCCCCTGGATTTTAGGGGAATGAAATTCCTTAGTCTTCTTACTAATGATATAGTCAATAAGGGCCTCCGGATAGCCGTTACTAAGGAAAATCTCCCTAGTGTTCCCAAATTCACGGTCCAATCTAATAGGAGAACACACTTTAAGCGCTCTATACACCAAGGTTTTAACAAGATTAATTTTCCTTGATGCAGGAGCAAATGAACGCCAATTCAAATAAAGTCCCGTAAAGGTGGGTTTACGATAGATGCTAGTAATAAAACCACCTCTACTGCGTTCAACAAAAACGTCCAAAAAAGGCAGACAGTTGTCCTTCTCCCCTTCCATAGTGAAAGACAAACCATTGTGTAAGGAGTTGAGCTCATTAAAGAACTCAACAGCCTCACTTTCATTAGAGAAAGTTGCAAAAGTGTCATCGACATATCTAACGTAAACAAACGGTTTAGACACTTTGCCGAAAAGTAACATCTCATGGTAGCCCACAAAAATGTCAGCTAATGCAGGGCCAAGGGGACTGCCCATCTGGACCCCATCCACTTGACTATACCTTCCAAAATACGACTTGGTAAGATAGATAGAATATGCTATCTTCCCCCCATGAATATGGAATCGGCTATTGCTCAACATTTAGTTGAGAATATAGCTTAATATAGTTGTATAAAAAAAAAGAGTGTTTTAAAATTATTCATACAGCCGATTCAATAATCATTTGAAGATTTTGGAATCGGTTTGTATAGGATTAAGAAAACCTTCTCTCTGCCGGCAGAAAGAATTTATAAGGTCTCTGAATCTGTTGGGGGATATTTTATTTTAACTGTCCCTCGCTAATTTATTTACACGATCCCTTCCCTCGTTACAAGTATATATACTTGTTTGTTATTTTAGTGTGTTTCCCCCTCTTTTTTTTTTTTTGCTCTTCAATATCGTTAATATTCTTTTCGCTAATCCAACGATTGTCTCCTGATGAGATGTTGGCTGAAAGGGCCCTAGAGACTTTTAAAATTAAAATCAATGGTTTCCTTGTTTTTTAAAAACTATATATATATATATATATATATATATATATATATATATATATATATATATATAGTTTTTCTATAAGAAAAGGTTGCTCAGTATTGGAGAGCATATATAGATGTAGACAGTGTAGACAACGTGGACATTGGGCTTTTTTCGGCATGATGCAAATTTCACACTAACAGTCATCATGTACACTCCTATATTCAAACACACGCACAATATCTCTCTCTCTCTCTCTATATATATATATATATATATATATATATATATATATATATATATATATATATATATATATATGTGTATATATATATATATATATATATATATATATATATATATTGTTATCTTTGACTAAATTATCCTCTGCTTTTTCTACAAACACCGTGTACATAAAAATCTTATGATCTCAGGAAGTTTTATGACTTGGCCTGGATATCAAACGTCCTTCAACTCTCTTTCGGCCACTGGGCATAATCAGATTCAAAGCATCCTTCCTTTACTATTCATTTCTGATGTTATAATTTACAACCTAGCAACGCTTCTTTTATTATGTACACATTATATTCTTCCCTTTCTTCTTTTTTTTTTTTTTTTATAGATTTCCATTTTTCATATGCGTATTTTTATTTTAGAAAAAGAAACGGAACTTGCAAGTTATATCGATGCTATCTATTCTGTTTACCTTAAGAGCGGTTGTACTTTCGCTTATTCTCCAAAGAAATCCCCAGGAAAGCAATCTATACTGAATATTAGAAAATGATGACATTGCAAAACTATATGTTAGTTTATGTGCAGCAAAAGTATCAAAACTTTCGCTAGAATGTTAATCTGTTCTCAGTAAATAGTTTACTAGACTAACAGCAGTCAATGCTTTATAAATTCTGAATATACCGTTGTTCTAACTTTTTTTTTAATTTCGAGGAAAAAACCTATATTCTGAATACAATTTTTTTTTCTTAAATGTCTCTAGTATTAAAGTGTATATATTGTTCTTTAAAAATAATTCCCAGAGATTATCCTTAAAAATATTAACCACGAGTTATCCACGATCTTAACATAACCTCTGCTGGAGGAAGAAATCCTTATTAAGTCTGTGGAAGGTGTTAAGTGTACGCCCTGTTTTCAAGGATATCGATTAGGGCTTTTCTGTGCCTCTTAATATGTAACTATCTAGATTTACGGCCATATTACGTTAAAACATCGGTTCACATACAATCACCGAAATTAAGTAACGTTGAGACTGGTCAGTACCTAGATAGGTGACCGCGTAGGAATACCAGGCGTTGTAAGCATGGATATGCTTGCGGTGTAATGGATAATGGCTAAGAATTTGAAATAAGTTCCAATTAGAGCCAAGTTCCTTATACTTATTACTATTCTTAAAAGAGTGCTTAATACAGAGTAGATCAGATATAATTGCAGCCATAATAATAAAAGAAGATCTAGAAAGATCATCTGGTTTACTCCCCCTTTCAATATAATGGTTAAAACTAAATTTGGATGTATATTTCTAAATCTCAATAGCTACTATAACCTTACTTCGTTGTCAAGTTTTTTGAATTTTCCTAACTTGTGTTTTGATTGTTCATTCTAGCTTTTGTAACAACGTTTTCTCCTTGCGAAGGATCGTTAATTGATTTGAAACTTTTAAAACCATTGATTTTACATTCAACATGATCACTTGATAAGACACCGGAGGTGTTGAAACAAAATGTCTATTTTTGTAGTGATTTTATAACATATTTATGTTATGATTTTTGAATAAATAATTATATATGTTCATATATATATATATATATATATATATATATATATATATATATATATATATACATTTGTTCATATATACATATACACACAATAGTTGAAGTCTACCAGCAAGCGTTTTTCGAGTCTTTAATAAAGGAAACTAATTAGTAGAATTTGTAAATTATTAGGACTCAGTAAATAATTATTATCTCCCAAAATATTCTTACAATCTAAAAATATTTTCTTGATTTAAATAACCGGCAAACGGGTTATAAGCCGTATAAATCCAATCTTGTAACTCTAGACCTCGGCTGGCTATTGAGCCTTTTACAGGGTGAAAATCATTGTAAAAAACTAAGTGCATTATTTTCTTCTTGTTGCCACGCTCTATGCATATAAAGTGCAGCGTGAAATTTTGCTATATTCTTTCTTTTTATATGTCGTGTCCTTTCAGAACGTAGCCGATCATGGCTCTCCACTTCCTCCTATGCCTTTTACAATGTTTCGTCCCTCTGCTACCTACTCCAAACCAAGTTCTGCCATCCACTTGCTTAATCCCGCCAGATATGTCATACGTTGCTTTCACTTATCTCCTTTTCTCTCTATTCGACCTGTCAGTATCAGATTCTCCAGGCCTTCCTTTTCTCATTATGTGTCCCAGAAACTTCAGCTGCCTCTTCTTGATGTTATGTATAAGCCTCCTCCTTGGTTGCATCCACTCCAAGACTACATCGTTGCAAGCTTCATGATATGCTCAGCATCCTTTTGTAGAACCATATCTCCGTCGCCCCGAGTCTCTTCTACATCTTTGTGGAAATCGTCCAACATTCTCTGCCGTAAAGAATGACAGGTGTCACATAACAGCACAGTACTTTTTCTTTGTTACCAAAGAAATCCTCCTGTCTTGCAATACTCTGTCCAACTTTTGGAATGCATCCTTGGCCATCCCAATACGTCTACGGATCTCAGTGTCGCATTTACCGTCCTCTGTCAAAACACTTCCAAGATATTTAAACTTAAGCACCTGCTTGATTCTAGTGTCCCCGACCTGTGAATCGCATTTCGGGTTCATCGTTTTACTGACGACCATGCATTCTGTCTTCTTGTAGTTTATGCTTAGTCTCTTCTTCTTGCTCTCCTTCGCTACCTTCTGCAGGTTTTGTAATTTCCTTTCCGTGTTTGCTATCAGCACTCTGTCATCTGCGTATCTTTTTTTATTAAGATCGTGGCCGCCGATGCTGAATACTGGTAGGATTTACATTTCTCTCAGAAATGACACGCTGTATAGGTTGAATAGGTCCGGTGAGAAGACACATCCTTGCCTTACGCCCCTTTCTATTTTTGTATATTCGCCGAATGCTTTCTCTTTGCACATGCATACCAATATAGATTCATGATTATTCTAATATCTTTCCCGAATATATCCCGAATATATGGTGAGCAGTTACACCAGAAATTTGTGGCGTAATACGGCTTAATACTGCCTTTGCTCTGTAATGAATATTTTTTTTCGATTTTCAATGCATGTCTTCAGTAAAATCAGTTCAATTCTTTATATATATACATACATATATATATATATATATATATATATATATATGTGTGTGTGTGTGTGTGCGTGTGTGTGTGTATTTGTGTGTGTGTGAGTGTGTGTGCGTGTGTTTATGTATAGGAAACGTGTATCAATTTTATATGCTTAAGGCTTCACGTTTATTAAAGCTTTCTTGTCAGAGATGTGGAGAAAAAGAAGAAATAATTTGTGACGTAATTTGGGACTTCGAATGGAATTCAGAACGACACAGATTATAGTAACACTTGCTTAAAAAGTCAAATTCACGTGAAACATGAATAACTAATAAAAATCTAACACAAAAGTAAAAATACCCGAATTTCTTTCTTTTTTTCTCCATATCACTTACTCTGACGAAGCTTTAATAAAAGGGAAACATGTTAGATTGATAAATAAATGTTTCCGATTTGTTATTTATCTTATGATACACCCCCCCACACATATATATATATATATATATATACACACAGAGACACACATATATATATGTGCTCGTATATATATATATATATATATATATATATATATATATATATATATATATATATATGATAGAAAGAGAAGAAGAAGGAGATAGGTCGAGAGAAAGCGAGTAATACAAACAGAGAGTGAGATAGAAAAAGGCAGGGAGAGAATGACATTTCTATAGATACTGATATAAATTTGATATTAATTTTGAGACGTAGCTATATTGATAAAAAGCACTATGAAGTTCAAACATAGAGGCATGGCAGTAAATGATGTCATGAACATCAATACATTCACGCACACGCATATATATATATATATATATATATATATATATATATATATATATATATATATACATACATATATATATATATATATATATATATATATATAATCCCATCCGCATACTTCTTAGCATCACGCTCCCCACTGTCGTCATGATATTACTTTCTTTCCCTCTTCCTTCTCAATAGTCTGTTTCTTACACGCTGTTTAAGGATGCAGCGCATGAACTAGTGCCAAGCCAGTACCATAAACATCATTGATTTTCATACAAATCTCACAAAGGTTAACAATAGCCACCACAAAGATTAAAATCTTCAGTAAGTAAACATTAAAGAGATGATAGTCTGAGCTTCGTGGAAGGTTATCATACTCGTCACTACGTTCATATGAGATTTTTTCTTAGTGTTGAGAAGGCGAGCTAAATAAATCAACCATCCGCCCCTGCATGGAATATTGCTGTCATATATAGTCTGGTTCCCCAGCTGTAAGTTTCGAGGTTCTCGACAAAATCCATAGACGGATATGCAATGTGATAGGTACTGATCTGGCATCTCATCTACAGTCGCTTTCTCACAGACGTACCGTGGCTTCCCTCTGTTTCTTCTACAAGTATTTTCACTGCAACTGTTCCGACGAGCTACTTTCGCTGGTTCCCAGACTGCACGAATTTAAGCGAGCTACTAGGCTGGCATCTCGGTCTAACCCTTTCACTATCGAAACGGTTAAATGTAACAGCTTATTCTCTAGTACTTCCCGTCTGTAGAACTCCCTTACTCTTGCTTGTTTACCTGATAACTATAATCTTAAAATATTCAAGTGTAATATCAATCGACATCTTCTGATACCTTGATTTTGTTCTTCTCTTTATACTTTCCTCAAACACGTCTCTTTACTCTTGCTCTCATTCCTCTGTAACCCCTTGCGTGCTAATGGCACTCCCGCCTTGCTTGGGGTGAATTGAAAAATTATACACAACAGTTTGGGAATATTGAATGTTGCTGATGCATATTGTTGGTTATCTTGTGTAAGTAAGCTTTCTTGCTGATGTAGACTTGAATATCACAAACATGTTCCCACATATTTATCACTGCCTATCTAGTAGGAAAGTTTGTATATTTTTTTTATTTAGTTGGTATCTGCTAGTCTTGGATGACTATGGCGTCTACAAGGTTGGCTAACTAATCCTTGTTACAAACATCGGCTTAGGTATACTTATGTTTCTCCAACACTAATGTAGTTTACTAATGTTTATATCGCCAGTTATGTTGAGCACCTTTAGTTACAATAGTCTCAGACCCGCAGCCACGATGATTTAGTAGGCATCCGTTAGTCTTGGGTGACTATGGAGACTACAAGGTTGGATAACTAATCTCTTACAGACACCGGCTTAGGCATATTTATGTTTCTTCAACACTAACAAAGTTGACTAATGCTTATATCGCACAGCTATGCTGAACGCCCTTAGTTACAATTTCTGCGAAAGAACGCACAGTCTCCTATGGCTAGTGTTTGAACATGGCTAATAGGCTCATACCCTCGGTCACGATGACTTTTAACTACGTGCTAGCACATCTATAGACTGCTTCTTAGTGTTTCGTCTACCTGATTTCATTACGAAGAGTCAATCCCAGGTATGGGTTTCAATCGCTTTCCAACGGTACCACAAGCAGGGATCGTTTTTTATCAAGTCACCTCTATGATAAATTAGCCAAGGTGAGAGTCGAACCCAGGTCTCATGTTCATTATGCTAACGTTCTAGCTATATCTCAACATTTTTAAGTAAATTTATACATTCATATAAGTGTGCTGCATGGCATTTGAAAATAATAAAGAACAGAAATCGCATTTTGAAGAAATACAGCTTTACATGACGTTGGCGATTATGTCTCGCCGCAATTTCCTGTCCTTTGTAGCTCTGTCTTTTTGTCATCTCACCTAAACCCTGTTCTGCCATCCATATACTCAAGGTCGTTAGTTAGGTTATGAGCTGTTTTCCTCAGTCACTCTTCAATAAGTCCTGTTACTGTCAAATTTTCAGAACCTTCTTTCCTCAATATGTTTTCCGGAAACCTCAACTATCACTTTCTGATGTTAAGTATAAGATACCTTTTTGTTTCCATTTTCTCGAAAACCTCTTTGCTGTTCACATGTTCGATATATGATATTCTCAGCATCCTTCTGTAGAAGAACATTTCTCTTGTTTGAAGTGTCTTCTTAATATGTGAGTAGATAGTCCAACATTCACTTCTATATAGAGGGACAGTTCAGTAATGTTTTCTTTGTTTCTAACGAACATTTTATACTTTCGAAATCCCAATATAACTTCGGATTTCAATGTCACACTTTCCGTCCTCTATTAAAACACTTCGCAGATATTTTCTACTTGTTTCATTTTGGTATCTCCAATTTGTAATTCACATATTGGGCTCTCCCATTTGTGGATAACCATGCAATCTGTCTTCCTGTAATTGACGTTTGATCCTTTTCTCACGCTTTCCTTCACTATATTCTGTAGGAATTCTTGTATTCCCCTTCCTGTGTCTGTTTTTAACTTTGTGTCATCTGCATATCTGATTGTGTTAAGATTGTGGCCGCCAATAATGAATGCTGGTAGTATTTCTAATTCTCACAGAATCGGCCCATTTTATAGGTTGAATAAGCCACTTTCTTTTATTACTCTTCTGTTTTGTTATATTTACAAAATTAATTTTGTATCCATATGCAGGCGGCTTTATTGTATAAGTACTGGGTTACATTTAACTTGTTGTAAAGATGAAATGGGTTTATATCCGGATATTTATTAACCTTCGCTTTGTACCGTACAAATTCTAATAGAATGAAACTTAAGTAGAGAGTTTATGTTGGACTAGTATTCCAAATGTTGACGTTTTGTCTACGTAGAAAATCATTGATCAGGGCCCTGGTCTGAAGATAAATCTCCTGCACTGTGAGAAATTGGTAACTCCCCCACCCCAATACGAGATATGCTCATGGATTTTGATTCTGGACGAGTTTCCTCGTAAATGATTTTGTCCAACCTTAGCGCAATCGAAAAAAAAAAAAAGAAAAAAAAGAAGTATAAAAATAGTTTGCGATAGTGTAAACAAAACCACATGTATTCGATCCTTGCCAGATAATTTTTAATTGTAACCTTGTATCAAAATTAGTTTGTTCGAATAAATATGTAATGACCAAATGAATGTGGCGTCTAACAAACATGGCCGGTTTGGTGAATCAGATCGTTGCATATTTTTCACCGGCGTCAGTGTTCGGTGTCGGGGACAGGCAATATCCCAGAATTGAATGCTGATTTTCAAAGCATACTCCAACTCTCTTTTGGTTTCTTGCTTTCCTGTCATGTTCGATCTTCAAAAGTTTAAAAACATCAATCCCCATCTTCATGAATTCTGTTTTTTGATCACCCATTCTCCATGCTAACATTTTCTCATCTTCTTTCACTCTCAGTAAGCCCTTGCGTCTATGTAGCATTATTGACTTGCTTGGGAGAAACGATCTAATAAAAAAAACAAACAAACAAAAAACAGACCTACCTCATCTGGACGATTTCTAATCCCTATTTGGCCTTGTGCCTTTGTAAAGAAAACTTAGTATATATGTAAATTAGTAAATTAGTTACTTTTGAAGCTTAGTAATTGTCATACGATTGGGCATTAGGATATAAATGGCGTAGTAGTGTATAGCGTGTCGGCTTGGAACACAGAACCACCATATTCTTATTTCGGCTTTCGTATGTTTATATATTTTCATAAAGAATGTATTGTCACACATGCCATGATAGTTGTAAAAGAAAATAATATGAATAAGTTAATACTGACTGCTCTTCCATAGCTATCACCTACAATTACACGATTATTATCATTGAAAGCGGCTCAGCTTTAATGGTTTCAATTTAATTATGACCTCTTTGACAAGCCTATGCTAATGAACTCCGTTTTTTCTATGTGTTCTGTTAATGTATTATTATGGCAATGTTGGTTTATTACAAGAAATCTTCAAAGCTATTACTAGGGAGCTCAATTCACACTAAGTGTTTCGTAAATGTGACCTTATGGCAAATTTAAATTAGTCTAGATGACTGCTACTAAGGTTAGATCTCACTTAGTCCGCTAAAAAGTCACCTTGCAACAAAGTTGGCTTAATTCAAAATTTAATATTCTTAATTTTTGTCAGAAGGTTCAGTTTTCTATTGTTGTTTCAATAAACATACCTTTGCCCAAAGATGACTTCATCTGGTAAAATCTTACTCCAGGACTCGTCAGCCGCTCTATAAAATTGGCCTTTCAGCAAAATAGGCTTAGTCCAAGAAATCAACTTTAAACCGTTGGTGGTGTGTTCAAGTCTAACTGGGTGTTGTATAAACATGCTATTTTTTCGCAAGTTTGGCTCAGTCTAAAAATAAATTTTACTACTGAGTTCAGATCTCACTCGGAACTATAATCATCGCTTTGCTGCAACGTTGGCTTAGTCTAGAAATTAATTTTGTGAACTATTGTGTGCCTTTTCTCACTGGGGATTTATAAATGCTACGTTACAGCAATTTTGGCTTAGTCGAAGGACATCAACTTGTAAATCATTGTTAGTGAAATCAATTACCACAAACTAATCTTTATGGAAAACTTAGTTTTGTGCAACAGTTACACAAATAAATCATTTTTAATGAATTTAATACTGACTAGGTTATACAAGAAAGTGATGTCATAGTATCGTACCTTGTTTCAGCATATAATGCTGTAATTTTTTTTTAATAATTATTTCTTCTTAAGCAAGGCAATGGAGTCACTAAGACGCAGACGGTTACTGAGTGTTAAATAATATAAGACAAAGAATCATTATTAAAGAACAAGAACAATAAAAGAATGGAAACTGAGACAGAAGATAACGTTGACATATTTGAAGATCAAACTTGACTGGAAAGCAATCGGCTGGAAGAGTTTCGCAGACGAGAAATGTGAGAGAGAAACTGTTAGCATAGAACTTATGGTTACATCTAGCCATTTCATGGGTAAAATGATCAGACCTTATTGCTAATCTAGTACTATACTTAAATTCATAAGTCTGCTTATCATTGAGAAAAGTTCACCAGGAAAAATTACCATGAAAGTGTTTATAGAAAAGGCAGAGGGAAGCTATATTACGGCGATGGTGGGGGGGGAGTGACTGAAGACGAGATGCCAGGTCAGGATCAATAACATTGCAGATTCTTCTTTGTATCTTATCGAGAATCGCTAAATAGCATGTCTCTAAATATATATAAGTTGAACCAGGCCATATGGATATTTACTTGACCCCACTGAGTCAGGTTGTGACACAAGGTCAGTTTTTAACGTGGGGACCTGAATGTCTTCACTCGGGCCGCTGGTCCAAGCTGGTCTTAGCTGGTCGTGGCTAGTTTTAGCTGGTCTTGGCTTGTCCTAGCTGGTCTAGGCCGGAGCCGGTCCAAGATAGTCCTAGCCGTGATACCACAAGCCCAGGGACGGAGCCCTGTGCCAGGTAAGTATGAGAACCAGGGCATATGTGGCAGCAATAATCTAAGCGAATAGTAGTGTAATGTAATATAATATAATTTATATGTAACATAGATTCGGGCGAGAAAAATTATCGCACAACATAAAGAATCAACTTTACTAGCATCAGTTCTAGCAACTGCTTCAATATGTAATCCGCCGAGTCTGAATTCAATTCGTGCTGGGGACATATTTTATAACATCGTATTGAAATATAGAATTATATATTATTCGGCAAATGAACCTAAATATTTAAGAATTCTAGTTATTTTGTAAACCATTTAGTATTCAAACAATGGTATCCATAAACTGATCATAGGAAAATACGGTGGCCGATTATGACAATATATGCACAATATATGAACATTATTACTTTGCCTTGAAGGCGCATTTTTGGAATACATAATTAATCTTCCGTGCTGCTAGTAGGAACCAAACGCACTGAAATTCATTTTCTGTCTTTTATCCTCCAGCGATGCCAGTCTTTCCGCCTCTACCGGCAGTTACAACTTTCTGCCGTCTTTTATGATACATCGGATCTTTTAGCGTCGAGAAATTAGCGTGTTGGCTGTTGGGGGTACCGAACTTTAGAAAGTGTGTTCTCAATAAGAGCGGTCATTGATTCGGTCATATCTGACTGGCGAGGAAATGTGGCCACAGCCGTCAAAATCTAATTAATCCAGGTGTTCAATGAGGAAAGGTGTAAAAAGGAAGAGAACTGAGAAAACTAGCATGAACTATAGAGCGACAGTGAGAAGATCAAAACGAAAGGAGAAACGAAGTGGGGGATTGTGAAGAGATTGACTATTTAAGAGAGTGAGTAAAGGAGAGTGTAGAGCAGCAAAGAATAAAAGAATAGGTGAAAAGAAAAATAAAGCATTAAAAAAATAAGAGAAAAGAAAAGAATGGGGACTGGGGAATAGAAAAAAGAGGTCTATTTGTGTTTGAGAATAAAAAAGAAAGAAAAGATAAGGTTAAATCAATGTGTTTAAGAAAGAAAGAGAAAAACAAAGAACTAAAACGTGAAGGCTTCTCTGAAAAGAAAATGTAGAAAACCTGCATGGCCTTTCTAAGGAAGAAAGAAACAAAGAAAGAAAGTGAGAAAGAATTTAGCATGTCAAAGAAAGAGAGAGAGAGAGAGAGAAAAGTGACTTTATATAAAATGAAAGATAACTTGCGACAAAGCAAGTCTAAGAAAGAAAAAGAAAGAAAGGAAGGAAAGAAGGAACAAAGAAAGAAAGAAAGGCAGAAAGAAGGAAGAAAAGAAAAAGAAAGAAAGAAAGAAAGAAAGAAGAAAGAGGAAAGAGAGAAAAGAAGAAATAAAGAAAGGAAGGAAGAAAAAAGAAAAAGAATGAAAGGAAAGAAAGAAAGAAAGAAAGAAAGAAAGAAGGAAGGAAGGATTTTAACATAAATGAGCATGAAAATAAGGTCTGGGAAAAAGGGTCAAATAAAGACAAAAAAGTTGAAATGTGAGGCTTCGTTGTCAGTCAGTAGTTTTGTATATGAAAATTGCTGTGATGAATTCAATCCTTAGTGGGTGCTCTATATCTGTGACCTCGTACCAAACTATATCGAGCTTAGTAAATACCTATAGACTTGTCTTTTACTAGGCTAAACTTTGGAAAAAGGAGATATGGGAAAGATATTTTGGCAGAGAGGGAGAAGTTTAGTTAGAAGAGAGTTAAGTAAAAAGAGAAAAGGAAAAAGAAAAAAATTAAACGCAGCAGCATATGAAGAATAGAAAGTGGACAGAATTAGGAAAGTAAATAAGAATGAGAAAGATTGATAGATAGCTAGACTGATAGATAGATAAATAGATAGATAGATAGATAGAGAATTAAAAGAGAAATATATATTTAAAAAAAGCTACAGTGTAAAAATACGGCAAGAATTGGGTATTTGCGCTGAAGCCGGAGAAAGAAGGCCAACTGGGAGGAGGAGAGTTGAAAAAGGACTTCCGTAATGGAACCAAAGGAAGTAATAACGGAAAATCCATTTCGAAGAATTTACCGACTGCATTCAATTCTACCGGTTGGGCATTCGGTGTATCTGGGTGGTTGGGAAGAACTAAAGCACGAAATTTCTAATCGATTTAAGAAGGCAATTCAACAACGTTCCTTGGTTTGTTGCTATTTATAAGGCTTTGTTGAGTCGGATTTTACAAGTATACTGCTGTCGCTTAACGGAAACAGATTTTTCTTTCGTTTACAGTCATCATTCTTTTTTGAATTCAGCTTTTCATCAATATATTTTTAATGATTTCCCCATTATATATGTAAGCAAGCAGAGTAAGCTTTTTGTCATCAGTTTCAATTATTTTTTCAAATACCGTGTTCTTTCAAAGCGGAAGCGATTTCAACAGAGCTCTTTTCTTTTTGAGGCTATAGAAATATTTTATTTAGAATTTTGAGCAACACTCTTGCTACTTGAGTTTTGGCTTGAACACGATTTTTACATTGACATTTTAGTGCCATTTGACGATCATGTATATAGAAAGACCGTTTTTTTCTCTAAAGGAAATATCGCCTTTGCCTTGTTTAAAATACTCTTCTATTAGCATTTATATCTATCTATCTATCTATCTATCTATCTATCTATCTAGCAGATTATGTGGACATGTAGAATATATAATAGTTGGCCGTTTACTTGAAATATTTAAGATTGTAATGATCGGAGAACCATCTTCACGGGCGACTGTTTCACAAAGCAGAGACTCTTGGGATGAAACTATCGGAATGGAACTTCCTTCTTACCATTGCCAGGGGGAATGGGAATGATTCAAACCTCTGTACATGACTGAAAATATATGAAAGGGTGGAACTAAAGATAGATTGTCAGAGCATTTGTCAAGGAAATAGCGAGAGTAACAAGATGCTTGAAATATTTCGTCTGTGGGGAAAGTCGTTGTAGGGTGAAAGATAATTAATCGCCGACAAGGCCGCAATGGACGTTTTTGAAATTTGTCAAAACTGAAAAGAGAGGGTTGGGTAGCTCTAACACAGATATGAAAGTAATACTGCATATTTGGCAGGCGGAATCAATAACTTATGTTGTCGTTTAAGGGGCCGATCATTTTAACCGCTTTCATGGATACGCGAATTAGTAACGTAACGTTCATATAAAAAAAAATACACGTTTTTGACATTGGTAACGGAGTTGATCAAAAGTACTCGAACAAAAAAGTGATGATCTTTGAACAGTTTATCTATAAATTCGATCCGGATATGCAATAGCTTCAACGTGAATTAGAATAATAAAAGAAAAATAGACAGACAGGCATTATCAGCCGAATTTAATAAAAGTTGTGTGTATGAATTACTGTTCTCCTATATATATATATATATATATATATATATATATATATATATATATATATATATATATATTTTATTTATTTAAAATGTGATTCCAACACGCTACATAAGAGTTCTCATGTTTCAAAACAAGATCTTTTTCGGCTCTTGTTTTGAAACATGAGAACTCTTATGTAGCGTGTTGAAATCATATTTTTAAATAAATGATGTTTATGCTCTACGTTTGTATCGAGCACTATTTTAAAAAAAATAATAACAAAAATACTAAAGAACATTGTAACGAGTTCTTTCCTATTTTCTATATATTTTTCACACACACACACACACACACACACAAACACACACACACACACACATATATATATATATATATAAAAGTGAACATTGAAGTCAACTCTCAGAGTCGATAGACTGTTTCATGCTAGACGCAACCACCAGACCACCTGATGATTGCGTCTAGCATGAAACAGTCTGTCGCTTCTGAGTGTTGACTTCAGTGTTTCCTTTTACATTTACATATGCTCTATCTCTGATATTGAGCATTATATTCCATAAATATAGGACGCCTTAAAACTACATTTCTTCATATATATATATATATATATATATATATATATATATATATATATATATATATATATATATATAATTGTGTTTTAGGTAACAATCTCACTTTTATATGAGTTTCATTAAAACGACTGACAAGTTTTTAATTGAATTTTTTTGTGCTTTCTTCGTGGCCTACCGGATCATGTAATTTAATAAATTATGTATTTTGGCAACAATTCCACTTTATACAAGTTTCATTAAAAACGACTGACATTAAATGCGGTAAAATGTACAAAATGAAAGACGACTGATTATTGTTTGAATCGTATCTCGCATTTGTCATCGGTGCTAGACGTTGTTGTTCGATATATTGTTAAAGGTTAAAATTTCGACTGTTGATTTTATAGGAAGTCTGGTCTCCTCACCTGGAAGATTGGCCTCACACATTTTTCTTTTCTTCCTATTCTCCAAATTTTAGCGATGTACTGTATTACGCTAAACTTTGCAAATGTCAAGAACATTTAATCTTTTATGTGTTGTTCAAGGTTGAGTTCGTTTTGCTCAGGAGATTTGCAGCACTCATTGATGGGTTCACTGCAAAAGAATTTCACAACAAAAAACGTAAATGGACAAGACTATTTTTTTCTCTTGGAGTTTTATCTCCGACTGTGTGTGTTTGTGTGTGAGAGATAGATAGATAGATAGATAGATAGAAAGAGAGAGAGAGAGAGAGAGTTAAAGAGACGCGTGTAAACATTCTAAACATCTACATTCTATTATTTTACAACCACTGTGCTGAATCTCGACTGAATATATATTTTTTTATTTATTTAGGTACTTTTACTAACTCTAGTATGGAGACTATATTGTTTTAAAAGAGCTACTGGCAAATATTTCGTAAATTTAAAGTTCGTAAATGCGCATGACGGGTCTTTTCCCGATACACTTTAAAATCAATACTTTTCGCGAGGCAGGAAATTACTTTGTGTAGAGACGGTGGAAACTATGGTAAGCTTAATGTTGTGGATTCCGAGATGAAATTCGGTCTCCAATGAATGACAAACGCAAGAATTAAATATAAGAAATTAAATGTATTTACACAATAGTTAGTAAATCCAGGAACGCCGTTAGTAGCAATGATAATATATATATATATATATACAGTCTCGAAGTAGGACTTCCTTAGAGTCTCCCTGCTTGTAACTGACTTCTACAAACGGTTACCTCACACTATTACTCTACCTCCAACTCAATCACAATCTCTCCTCTCTCTCTCTCTATTCTGATTGACTCTGGGTATTTAACGGCAGCAGTCCAAGTAACACTCTGGTTGAGTCCATTTATATGAAAAAGGGGAGGACCCCATAACACTTAATAAAAGAGCTTCATTGAAGACTAGAATTGTTGGGTAGAATCAGCACAAGTCATTAAAAGTGGGTTCTCTATAATCGTATCCAGACGAAAATGACAATGGTTAGCACTCATTGAACCGAGAAAGTATGCAGAAATCAGAACTCCACCCCCAAAATATTTTACTGTTTTGTAGAATATGAACGGTTTCATTTATCATGAAGTGCTAAATCAAAATCAATCAATTAGTGCAGAGAATCGATGGCGTCAATTGGAAGTATAGCACAAAAATTAACAGAAAAAAAGTTTAATTGTAAAGGCGTGTTGCTCTCATGAGACAATGCAGTGCCACATATTGCCCGAATCACTTAGCAAAGATGATGGCATTAAATAACAAATTTACTCTGCACCCTCCTTGCTCTCCTGATCTTGCTCCATCTGACTCTCATCTTTTCAGATTATTGCAACATTTTAAGGGATTATTTTATCGATGATGAGGTGAAATATTTATTTACTTATATTATTCTTTGGAGTTAGTTCAGACATTCATGAGATTTTTTACTCCAACTATCATGGTCTCGCATCAAGGTCGGGTTGACATTCTGTGTCATAACATAGCTGGTCAATGTAGCTGGTTGCTGGGCGACCTACCCGTCTTGCTCCATGCCTAGGGGTCCAGAGCAGTAGATCACTCGCAGGTTCTTCTTTTGCTCGTCAGCAGTTTCATGTAAAGCAAATTCTGAGTTGGCTTAAGATTGTAGAAATATCAGGGATGGATCTGAAGAACTGTGATTTACTTGGATGTTGTCTCCAAGGGATATTAATTATAGCTCTTAGCACCAAGATTAGACTCTAGGGTTTTTGTTAATTTTCAGGCAGTGGCACCATACATTAACATCGCCTCTACAGTAGGTTGAAAGAATCTCCGACTGAGGTTATCTGCTGGATTGGAATTTCAGATTACATCCATTTTATTCAAGGTAGCCCAGGTTTTAGCTAACCTTTTCATTAGAATTTATTTCGCTTCCAAGTTATGTAAACGATTCGAGAGATTTTATTAATTCATTTGAGACAGGTTGTATTAAGTCTTGATGGTTAAAGTCTATGAATTGAATTTTAGAGGGATTGACATAGAGTCCGACATTGTTGGCATTATTTTCTAGTAATGGTGTCTTCAGTTATAGTTAGGTTATCTCCATGGTCAATATCTGTCACCTTTTTTGCAGAATATCGACTTGAGAGGGGTGCATAGGAAAAATGGAGAAGATCCTTCCGGCATATGGATTCCCAATGGAGGCATTAAGTGTCATAATGACGCTATACAAAAATACCAAATCTTCAAAACAGGGGTCCTTCAGGTTAACACTCTTGCACCTTTTCTCTTTTTTTATCACCCTTGACTACATATTGAAAACGTCCTTCGAAAAACATCATCATCTAGGTTTTACTTTATCACCAAAATACTCAAATATACCAATTAAAACCAAAGAAGCATCTTCAGTTGCGATAGAGTTTTTCCAATGTAATATATCAACACACCGATATAAACATATTTTTTGAAATCCTTAATATTCAATGCCCTACAACATTTATTAAATGCTGGCGCTTGGCTTAGCTAAATGTTTTTTTTCAAAAAAGGCGAGCTATTTGAACATAAAAACAAAAACTGGAAAAAATCATCAACGGTCAAAGATGTAGGAAGGATATATATATAGGAAAAGTGTAAGTATAACGCAATTCTAGTTTAAAAGTTAGAAGCGATAGGTTTTATATTGTCTTCGTTTAAAGAGTTTCAAGGCAAAACTTATGGAGACTGATCGGCATGTCCATCTGTTCCAGGTTGTTTTATTTCTTTATGACTTCTTGATCGACATTTTGGAAAAACTGTGATGCAGGAAATTGATGATAGTTCAGCGAGAGAGAAAATATCTAGTCTGCCATGTTTTATGTTACGCGTCGATTTGCGAAGCTGATAAAATTCTTGTATGCATCAGTTAATCTCGGTTTCTTTTCCTCGGTTCCCGCTGAGTGCTCTTTCTTTGTTTCATTCTTTCTTTGTTTCATTCTTTCTTTGTTTCTTTGTTTTATTCTTTCTTTGTTTCTTTGTTTCATTCATTCTTAGTTTCTTTCTTTCTTTTTTCGCATTCTTTCTTTGTTTCATTCTTTCTTTTGTTTCATTCTTTCTTTGTTTCATTCTTTCTTTGTTTCCTTGTTTCATTCTTTCTTTTTTTCATTCTTTCTTTTTTTTATTCTTTCTTTGTTTTTTTGTTTCATTCTTTCTTTTTTCATTTTTCTTTGTTCCATTCTTTCTATTTTACATTCTTTCATTCTTTCTTTGTTTCATTCTTTCTTTGTTTCTTTGTTTTATTCTTTCTTTGTTTCTTTGTTTCTTTGTTTCATTCATTCTTAGTTTCATTCATTCTTAGTTTCTTTCTTTCTTTTTTCGCATTCTTTCTTTGTTTCATTCTTTCTTTTTTTCATTCTTTCTTTGTTTCTTTGTTTCATTCTTTCTGTTTTTCATTCTTTCTTTTTTTATTCTTTCTTTGTTTCTTTGTTTCATTCTTTCTTTGTTTCTTTGTTTTATTCCTTCTTTGTTTCTTTGTTTCTTTGTTTCATTCATTCTTAGTTTCATTCATTCTTAGTTTCTTTCTTTCTTTTTTCGCATTCTTTCTTTGTTTCATTCTTTCTTTTTTTCATTCTTTCTTTGTTTCTTTGTTTCATTCTTTCTGTTTTTCATTCTTTCTTTTTTTATTCTTTCTTTGTTTCTTTGTTTCATTCTTTCTTTGTTTCTTTGTTTTATTCCTTCTTTGTTTCTTTGTTTCATTCTTTCTTTGTTTCATTTTTTTTTGTTTCATACTTTGTTTGTTTCTTTATTTCATTCTTTCTTTGTTTCTTCCTTGCTTTGTTTCTTTGTTCATTGTATATTTTTCTCGTATCTTTTTTTTTTTTGGTTTCGTCATTTCTTTCTTTGTTTTGTACTTTGTTTTTTTTCTTTCATTTTCTTTCTATTTTTCTTTCTTTCGTTTCCTTTTCGTTGGGCTATTTATCGTGGAGGAGCCAGATTTTTTTTACAATATTGCTCAACGACATACCCTATCCTCTTGTGAGGCAAAGAAAGCAAATCTCCTTGGATATATACTTAAATCACTTCTTTGCATTCTCCTCTTTCCCGTCTCTCTGACTCTAGCCAATAAATGGCGTTGTTTACTTTCCATTAATAAGGTCTCCTCGATGAGAACCTTATATAATTTCTGACAACATTTTCTACCGTTTTTTTGTAGACATTGTAGGTTCTGTCGATGTTTTAACTAAAATGGAAAGTATAATTCAGACTCGTCTCAAGTTTGTTTTTGAAATTAGGAGTTCCAGGTGTATGGTTCGGGTGTGTGGCTGGAAAACAATCACAAAAAATCTCAGGAAAATTGTCTAGAGACCAACAAGTAGTTCAGCTTTGATTTCTTATTGACAGCCTATATGTCAGATGAAGTGTAAGGTGTGAAAAATACAGCCGAAACAATTGCTACTATTGCTAGCAGTCTTGTCTGTATATATTAAGTTCCTTGGATTGAGAGAAAGAAAAAAAATTAAAAAGGGTTTTGGGTAGAGTTTGGTCAGTTTATAAGAACCTCAGACTACAGTATGTGTACCTGTACAGCCATGTCAACACCCGGATCTGTTAATAGCTCTATCTATTAATATGAATCATCTGTCAAATTCAGCAAATCATTCCCTTCGAAAACAGCGACAGAAAACGGATAGTTCGAAAAACTGGTATACCTAAATAATAAATGATATTTTATATCAAGGTTAAAATTTTCAGGAGAAAAACAATAAAGAAGATTTTCTAAAAAATAATAAACAAAAAATGTCAGTTAAATGATTTATGCCGTTTGATTGAATTCTCAATAAACCTGATGCGCTAGAATGTTCCATTTCGAACACTGGAGTTTAGAATGTGATGTTGATTCACTGATTTGGGCTGTGTAAGTCAAAGACCATGATATTTTTGTGATTGATAGTGGAGTGCTTTCCCGTTGCCTTCTCCATGGTGATTTATTGAGACACTGCCCCTGATTAGCTAACCGTTGACTCGGTGAGAATTCTTCCAGCCTTTGATAGGTTTTATTTTTTCATTCTACTGGGTTTGCTATCACTCCGTCTCACTCACAACTTGAAGTGTGGTAGCCTGTTTATATATATATATATATATATATATATATATATATATATATATATATATATATATATATATATATATATTTTAATTTTAATATACAACTATTGTTAATATTAGACTATAAAGCATTAAACTTTTTTGCTAATCCATTATTTGCATTAAGTTATCTCAATTATTTATTATTATTATTGTTTTATTTATTTATATATTTATGTTTCTATTTAATTTTA